CTGCTCTCGGCGCACCTTCAGGCTGCGACAGGCAGGAGAAGGACGCCTGTCTGGCGTGCCGCACCCACGGGCGTTGCAGGAAATCAGATATCAGGCACCACTTTGCACTCGCTGCTTCACCTCCCGATCAACAAGGACTTCAGACCGCTCTCCGCCATCGACAAGGCCCAGCTCCAGAAGAAGCTGAAGGATATTCAGTACCTGATCATTGACGGAAAAAGCATGCTGGGACTGCGTCAGCTATCCTGGATCGACGACCGTCTCCGCGAGGCATATGCGGAACGAGGAGTTCTTTGGCGGACTCAATATCCTTTTGGTGGGCGACTTCTTTCAGCTTCCTCCTCTTCTACAGAAGCCGCTGTATTACGACAAAGAAGTGCAGGGAGTGGAGATCAAGGGCAGGAACGCGTATATGCGCTTCGATAAGACTGTCTTTCTGAGCGTTGTTCAGCGACAGTGTGGCGATGATCAAGCGGCCTTTCGCAAGGCTCTCAGGGAGCTTCAGCTGCTCCAGCTATCCTACGAATCCTAGAAACTTCTCTCCGGCCGCGTGCAGGCAAAGCTAGACGATCAAGAGGTCGCCCGGTTTTCTGACGCCTTGTGGGTATACGCCACGAAAGACCGGGTGAACGAATATAATCACTACCACCTCGACCGCCTCAGCCGACCAGTCATCCAGGTCATTGCTGCAAACGTTGGCCCCGGCGCGGCTGCTGCTCCGGACGACAAGGCGGGAAACCTTGCGAAACAAGTCCCTGTATGCATTGGTGCCCGTTTGATGTTGACGTGCAACCTCTGGCAACAAGTTGGTCTCTGCAACGGCGCTCGTGGCACAGTGTACGACATTGGCTGGGCACCTGGGGCTGACCCCATCCGAGACCAACCGTGTGTAATCATGATGGAGTTTAACAAATATACCGGACCGGCATCCTGACCACCGCCGACGGTAGGAAGATTGTTCCGATTCTGCCAGTAGTCAGGGACTTCCGCGTTGGAGCCACACTCTGCACTCGCACTCAGTTTCCTCTGATCGTACGCTACGCCATTACGGTTCATAAGTCGCAGAGCATCACCGAAGACAGGATTGTGACAGATCTATCCTGCCGTGACTTCCAGACAGGTTTGAGTTATGTGGCCGTCTCGCGTGTGAAAACGCTGCAGGGTTTGATGCTGGATGCCCCGTTTGACCGCAATCGTCTGACATACACATCCCCCCCGGAGGGTATCAAGATGAAGATGAGGGACCAAAGGCTTAGGAGTTGGCAGGTTCTCACTCAGAATCCGTATAAGAATTGCCACGGGACCACGTAACTCCAGTTGATGCTACCAACGTAGATGACGCAATGAATGTATGACTGTAGATACTTGACTGTTCAGGGACTGCCTTATCGTTGACCGGAGACTTGCAGCCTCGGCTGATTGTACGCCTTGCACCACCACTCTAAAGTGCAAGGTGTCACGTAGTATTTTAAGGTAAGCATTGTCACGTGAAGCGGAGGAATGTAAGTAATTGTGGTGTTAGAATGTCCCTCGCCCCGCCTTACTATTCCAGGCAGACATCATTCCCCTTCGAAACGCGGGAGCAGACGCCTTTCTCGTTGAGCATCACTACAGATGCAAAGCCGAGGTGGATGATACGACCTTCTCTTAAACATATAATCATGAGAGTGCCTCATGTCTCAGTGGCTCTGATTGATTGCTCATGTCCTTGAAGGCTACTGAGCCATTCCCAACACACAACTGTGATGGATAACGACGATAAGAATCAGTCACTTTTCCAGATCAGCCTGCGCAATCGCGCGCCCATCGTCTCGCAGCTCGTCAACGTAGGCAGCGAGCCGAACCAGAGAGAGCACGCCAAGTTTCGTTCATTCATCACGAATTTGCAATGTCTAAGGCCAAAAGGCAATAGACTACACCGCGAGTCGATCAACGCCTTCCGCCAACGAGGGTACGTTGCGCTGTCCTATACCTGGAAACCGTCGGAGTATGAAGACAAACAACCTGGGCCATACTCCGTACAAAGTTGGGATGGCAATGGCTTCCAGCGGTCGGAAGTTCGCAAATGTGTCTTTGACCGCATACTTCACTACATGAATTGCACCGACATTGTATCCTTTGGATGGATGCTCATAGCATTCCTCAAAATACATGCGGAGTCGACTATTGCACCGGCCACGCCCATTGCGCCCAGAAACGCAATGCCATACAAGCTATGGACCTGGTGTACCAGCTCAGTCAGCACCCCGTTGCCCTGCTGGGCTGGCAGCTGACGGTGGAATCTGAACTGCACCTCCTTACACGGATACTCTCGGGAGATCTCGTTAGCGGCATAAGCAATAGGGAATTTCGGCTCTCAAAAGCAACTAGCATTTACGAAGCTAAGAAGGCGCTCTGGCTGCTTTGGAAAATTACGCATGACTTGTGGTGGGAACGTGCATGGACGTTCCAAGAGAACTACCGGAGCGGATCGCGTATGAGGCTACTGATTAGGCATAATCCTTCGCTCGAGTCACAGAAGCTGCGATACCATTTGTTCGGCAAAATACCTGGCGAGCTTTGTATATCGTCCGTTGCCTTCTCCGCACAAGTGACTCAGCTATGTCTGGCGATCCGAGGTGCAGCAGAATCTATGCGTTTGAACGACTTGCGGCGGATTGATAACATTCTCCAAGCCGCTGGTAGATATGCACTCATATTGCCCGAGTCGAGCTGCATGACCCCGACCGTGATCGCCGACATCGAGACACGCGGATTGACCCAGCCCTGGGATCGCCTCGCCCTCATCGCCAATTGCTGCCAGTATCCGGTACGGTTAGACAGTGAAGTGCTCTGCCGGAGGAGTCAAAGTCTCAGTTTGTCAATACTAGCAATGTGTCTACTCAATGGCGAGATCCTAAACAATAGCAACGATGATACAACTTCGGTAGCCGGGCTGACGACATCGGTGTTCTTGAAAAGACTAATATTCCGAGGTTTCAGCGCACCTGAGGACGACAACAGGCCGCTGACGTTTAACAAGGGCTGCCGCTTAACGGATGTGGAGTTGACGGCTTGCGGCGTCGTAGTAAAGGGTCATCTGTGGAAGCTAGGCCGCGTTATCGATACATCGACTTTTTGGCCGAAGCTGCCTTGGATCGCCGAACCACGCGGCCGCCTAACGCTCTGGCAGCGAAAGCGACTACTGCAGCTTGTGTTCCGTCTACATGATCTGGACCACGACTGGCTCGCCGAAAGGATTGACGGGTACCTGGCTGCCGACGCCAACACTAGGAAAGACTACAGGTCCTTTACTGAAATGTATCTCCACCGCATGGCAGTCGAGATAGCAGCCACAATCCAGTCGCGGCAGAAACTGAGGCTGGGTAGTATCTGGGACGCGGGCGGGTGTTCCTCACCGTACCGTGCCATTTTCGCATGGACAGGGGAGGATACCGAAATGACTTGCCAGCCGCCACCGGCTTACGTTTTTACATGTGCGCGACAAGGCGATCCAGGTTCGTATGGACACGATGCTAACGACATTGACCGCCACGTCTCGTTGCAAGTTGAACTCAATGTCCCTCTAGGAAGCTGTAGTTTACCGCAGCTCCGGATCCGCCGTTGGCTGCTCGGTATTTGTTTCTTCGACGAATGTCCGCGCACCAGGATGGTATTTCCTTGGCCACGAGTACTGCACGCAGTAAAACCATAGTCAGCTGGGTGAAGGACGTGGTGTCGGAACATCGCGGTTATTCAAAGTGGGCATTCGTCGCCTCAAGTGACCTGCTGAATGTTCAAGAAATTCAATTCTTGTGAGATGATAATCAGAGTCTGCAACAATCCCGACTCATTTGTGAAAGTCACGTCCCAATAGACGCCCCAGATCTACAGGACCTACTAATACTACTACTACTGTTAGTATGCCACTACCTGTGTTTCTGCGAAACATCAATTTGGTCCGTCGCCCTGGTGCAGCCGGACTAATAAGAAGGCATCGTACCCTGGCTTGTGCACGTTTCGCCGCAACATCATGCACGTCGTGATTCTGGTCTGCAGAATTTGATACACGAGATAGCACCATCAACCTGACACCAGACTCGGCACCGAGTTTCGCTCAGGCTCACCGTTAATCCCCATAATATCAACTCCCAGGACGACTAGCGTGCGGAGTCCTGCGGCGAATTCACGATGTCTCTTCGCTGTTTGACTGCGCTCAACCGGGTTGCCCTGCCCAAACCCGCCGTTCAGACTAGAACAGTACTCAAGTAAGTGAGCGGCCACGGCCATGCAACTAAAATCTCCATGCTGAAGATAATCTATAGCCGCACCTAGGCTCCGCATCGCCTGCATGGTCTCCTTGACACTCGGCGCATCTAGCAGCTCGGCGCGTCACCTCCGACGGACTCGTTTAGATCGCAGGTTCAAGGACCGACGAATTGCCTTGAGTTCTTTTGTATTCTTATGCTTGTTTTCGTGTGATACGCAGTCGACGAGCGCCAGCAATCTTGCTGCATCGGTCATGGCAGCAGTTTTGTCATCCCATATTCTTGCTCTTGTGTGGTACCGCACACTTTCCGTCCGCCGCCAAAAATCAGCGGCCAGACAGCCTGCCAATGCCCGGTCTTGGAAGAGACTGTACACAGCCACGGCATACTTGTGCAGTATGTTGATGCGCGTCTGCGCGACTCCTCCAGACTGTCTAGTGTCGGCAGACCGAATGCTTACTGATAGCCTCGTAGTCGTCTCTCCCGATCAAGTGGCGCTGAGCCCCAACCACTCTGTAACCTTGTCCATGCATCAAGAACGATGGGATGATGATGTAGTGCTCGAGTTGAGATTGCTCGGGCAGTGCAGAGACAACCGGCGCGGATCGTGTCCAGCAAGTCGCATGGAGATGCAGCAGTCAATGCTCTAAAGATATGTTCCAGCTATGTCCAGTATCCACGTTCAAAGCGCTGCTACAAACTCGACGACGAAAAGGGACGAATTCTTGTCCTATCCAAGCTGTGGACCAATGTTCTGCAGAACACGACATATCCTCCAGAAAGTAATCAATATGTACGGAGAGGCCGATCCGGCAAGTCCGGATAGTGGAACACGAATCTCCTTCTGCAAAAGATCCTCCACGATGACTTTTAAGTGATCACTTCCCTTGCGTCGGCTACCCACTTTGGCCTGTTCGTACGAGCGCCTCTCCGCTTTTGTCCACGTTTTCTTGTCTTTGATCTTTCTCTTTCTCTCCGCCTTAGTGATTGCTATCTTCTTCTTTTCTATGGGCGTAAAGATGTCTTCTTTCTTTTGAATAAGAGAGGAAATGTCACTGCAGCGACTATACAGAGCCTGCCAACAGCCAACCCCACATTGCTCGGCGAGTATTATTCTCTTTCTCGTCTTCTCTTGACTTTCACATGTGCAGAGTCAAAGTATCCTTTGACATACTTGTCGATGGACAGGAGAAGCCTAATGAGGTTGCACAGCTTACCCCTCACGACATTTGTATTCTTGTTGATTCAACATGACAAAATTCGCTCGTTGCAAGTCGATGAGTCGCTTCAAATGGGAATCTGACTGGGAAAGCGCCACCGAAGAGAACGAATGCCAACTGCTGGAAGAGATGCGGCCGATCCTCGCATCAGAGCCATCGACGCCGCGATCAGCGAGTGAGCCACATTTTGCGTGAATTAGCTCCGTTGGATTAACTAATTTGGCAAAGGTCTTTTGCTAGAGATACCCTGGCGGATGTCAAGATTTACCTTGGCTCTGTTGAACTCCCCGCGCATAGCCTCGTGTTAACGGCACAGCGTAGCTACTTTGAACGTTCCCTGCCAGGCGGAATGAAGGAGTACAACACCAGAAAGTTTGAGTACGTGGAAGGCAGCATGCAAGCGTACTGGCGGGTATTTGAACACATACCGTGAACGGAACTAGACCATCCCGGTATGTCTGACAGTCTACACACAGGGACATGATAGTAGGTTGACTCGCCCCAGATGACGACGAGCTCTCGAAAGACGTTCGGGTTTATCAGCTGGCGGATTACTTTGAAGTCGATGGTCTTAGAGAGTATACCCTGCAGAACTTCAAAATGAAAATCAATAGGCTGTGGGTTAGTGAGGTGTTTGTTGATTGCATACGGGATGTCTACCAATCTACAAGCGCTGCAAATTGCAAGATGAGAGAAACTGTGGTTGATGTCGCACGCCAACACCTATCTGAGCTATGGGTGAGACGGCCTTTCAAGGAGCTTATCCGCGAAGGAGGCGATTTCGGGGTGGACTTGATGGGTAAGTTGGCTTCCGGATGAAGTGGAGTTCAGCGGCTTGGTTAGTGCTTTATTTAGCAGCTTATGAAACCAACTCGGGCAAGAGGTTCGACAAGAAAGGCAAAATCGCCATCTTCTTTAGCTGCGTCAACGGATTCCTGGAGGAAATGCAGTCTCCATGAGCTCTAGAATGTGTGCGCCGTGGCCCGAGGTGGTCAATGGGTGGGCGAGGCTGATGCTCGCTCATGCTTTGTGTGTTTTGTGTGGGGCAGCTGTATTCAACCCAACCCACCAGAGCTTCAACACAGCTTCCAACTCCTCAACACCAAAACTGCTCGTATCTCGACGCCTCTAGGCTCGGCGTTTCGGAGTGGAGGACAATACCCTGGATTACCCCACGCATCCCTGGCCGCCTGGGTGGCCAGTCTGATGCACACAACTGGAACCCCAGACGCTTTCCGCCAGGCCATGAGCAACCTTCTTTTACAGTTCGCTCCCAGGTCAGCAGGATGGAAGGTGGACAGGGATCAATCAAGGCAGTCATCCAGGTTATTGATCATGCTGCAGACAGTAACGAATGAGGGCTTGTTCTTGCGCAATTGGGGCAACGGCAGCAATCGCTCTTGCCAGGGGAGGTAGACCCCATGTCAGTGTGGTGTTCATGTTCGAGTGGGTCTCTAGCCAGGTATATAACAAGACGATTGAACCCAAGTGCCTGCACTTTCTTTCTTCTTGATTTAGTGCTTCAGGTAATCTAAAGGCTAATCAGCATAGAGCTTGTTGTAATGTAAGTTGGCGTTGTAGTTTGAGATTCTTTCAAGTCGTCAAGATAGTACAGCAAGACTGGGGGCAGACATGGCAGGTATCTATAACTAACTATTGTAGCCGGTCCGGCGAAAATGGGGTGGATGGTATTGGTTAGTGTGGTTACTTACCCTGGATCCCATACCATGAGATTTGGCAAGAATGGACTAACCGTAGGTGCTATATCTAGGTGCACGACTCCAACCGGCAGAGAGGGTGAAAGCCACGGTAGAGGTTACGATGCAGGATTGGATTGATTCAGTGCCGGGACAGGTGCAATGTGGCTTGGGTGATGTGTCCGATCATGAACGGATGTTACTACTGATGCGTACAAGTGTTACAGAGAGCACCATGACACCTATTTGGACGATCATTATGGGTAGCTAGATACAAATGAACTGAGGGCAGAGGACGATGAATACGAACTCGAGGTCCACGAAGAGCCCGTTGCGGACGAGGACTGGCATAAAGTCTCCCGCATGCTTCCCGACCGCCCGCTGGAGGAAGAGGATATCGACATTCTTGGCCGCCGAGACATTAACATCAATTATGATTGGGCTCCCACGCTGGAGGGTACACCGACAATGGCATTCTCAACGGTGACTACTGGAAGCAGCGCAAAGCGAGAAACCCCCTTGACCTTGATGTGGATCATCAGCCTTTGGAGGTTCGCGATTCCCTAAATCGAGAGCAGCGGCTAGTGTACGATACGGTGATGGACCACTTCCTGACTCAGGAACCTTCTCAGTTGCTGCTCCATGTAGACGGTGAGGTGGTACTGGAAAGTCATATCTCATTAATCTGCTCTCCACCCACCTCCAAACTGCTGCCGCCAGGAGAGGAACACCTGTTTGGCGTGCTGCGCCCACTGGCGTCGTGGGAAATCAGATATCGGGCACCACCTTGCATTCCCTGTTGTACCTCCTGATCAATAAGGACTTCGAGCCCTTGTCGCCCATTGACAAGGCGCAGCTCCAGAAGCTTAGGGATATCGAGTATCGGGTCATTGATGAGAAGAATATACTGGGACTGCTACAGCTATCCTGGATCGACAACCCTCTGCGCCAGGCGTTCCCGAGTAGGAATGAGGAGTCCTTTGGTGGTCTTAACATCCTTCTGGTTGGCGACTTCTTTCAACTTCCCCGGGTGCTACAGAAGCCGCTTTATTACGACAAAGAGATGCAGGGAGTAGATATCAAAGGTAGGAATGCATAGACGCGATTCGATAAAACAGTCTCCCTGAAGGTTGTCCAGCGACAGCGTGGCGACGATCAGGCGGCGTTTTGCACAGCTCTGGCTATCGGTAGAGTCAGGGAAGCTCCTCTCCACCCAAGTACAGGCAAAACTAGATGATCAAGAGAGCGCCAGGTTCGCCAATGCCGTACGAGTGGACGCCATGGGTGAACGAATATAACCTGCTTTGAATGTGCGTTGAAAGTCCTTTTTTCGAGACCATTCGCAGCGCTGAAGGCGCATTTTCCTCCATAAATCAGCTTCTTCCAACCGTCAACCTCCTCGTCGGTATCCCAAGATGCATGTTCCAGCTCAAGATCATCATCATTATTGCTGTTCTCTTCTGCCCCGTCTCTATTTCGACGATTCGAAAGCAGAAGTAAGTCACTGGGAAGACAAAGGTATATGGGGTACTAAGAATGTCTTGTAGGCAGTTTCTTGATTAAACCACCTGACGCGTCGGCTTCAATGCTCAAATCCACACCGTCCTTGTCTGACACTACGTGAGGAAGTGCTCTGCTAAGAACGCTATCATTAGACATACACAGAGCTGCAATTAGCCTTCGCACGCTCTCCTTGTTGTATAACCGTGTAACCCATCCAATTGTGCTGCGGCTTCCTACATGCGTCGCTCATTCTTATCTTCCGTTTCGGAAGTGCAGATATTGTAGCCAATGATGATAACTTGACAGAACTCATTCGTAGGATCACAAAGGTTACATATACCAACTTTGTCTGAAGAATACCTCCGGAGTCACAGTGTTTCCAACCAATCTAGTAATACGGCGACTGTTTCAATGCCGGGTAACGTGCATACCGATATGCGATGGTCCAACCGCGTTCTCCGTTCGTGACGAAACAGAACTGAGATCTGACAGCCCGCTAATGCCTCAGGCCCTCGCCAAATCCCGAGATTAAAGAGCGAGCGCCGGCTGAGCATTTCGTTAGATCTCGGCGACTACGCCAAGTCGATGATTGCCTGAAGCCCCGAATCCAGTGTGGTAAATAATATGA